AACCAGCACATTTTCTGTTTTCTGTCGATCGATCATCGATTGTATGCATAGAGTCACGTTTTCTCAACGCAACGACGAAATTCACCAAAAAATGCATTCGAATTCACATTATGGAAAATGACACAGATTGGCGCCAAGATCGAAAGCACGCTCAGGTATCCATTTAATGAGCTGCACTTTCTTCAAAATTGCTGTGTGTGTGTATATGTAAGCGCGCGCATTTTTTTCTCCATCTCAGTTTTTTTTTTGCCAATGGTTGATTTGAGAAGGCGATGAAGTAATGCTAGACGGCACGACGATTTTTGTAAGGCCGATCCAAAAAATATCGCGATTTCCTTGGAAAAATGTCGCAAAAATGCCGTCGCCACCGTAAACTTGCACTGATATTTACCGAAAGATTTCTTCGAAATCGGCGGCCCAGTGTCCCGCGCAAAATTTTGCGTTATGCCTATGCTCGAGTGTACATTGCTCACTTGCTCGTCTTGCAGCACACATTTAATTATCCTTTTCATGGCATTCCGCGCAATGTAACAACAATGTATACACAATCAAAAAGTGATTAAAATCCAAAGCGACGAGAAAAAAATGCTCACAGCTGAACAGCTGAACGGAACACCAGCACGGCGTGGAATGAGGCATTGAAACTTTAAACTGTGCCTGAAACAAAAGGCAATAGCGCCAAATGTGTGTGCTGCGGAATGCGCAAATTAACGTGATAGACATGGAATGACACATGAGGATATTGAATTCCAATTTGCATATTATATAAATATTTTATCTGAAATTTCATCGCCTCCATCTGATCAAGAGAGACAGAGAGAGAGAGAGAGAGAGCGGGAGAGAAAAATGGAATGGACTTTGTTATTGCGTTTGATTCGAACTAATTGTCGCGATATGCCTTTGACTTGAAAATTGTATGCCGATAACAACATATATATATATATATATATAAGCACTGTGCGGGTTCACAAAACACATCATTGTATGTGAAGCGTAGTTATCAGGCTTTGTGGTTATCCCCGTACGAAATAGAGAGTTCCTGCGAACGCATTTCGTACGAAACAAATAGAGTTGTTTCCATAATGGTATCGTCGAATTAAATTTATTTTTATTACCTCCATTTCAGCGATTCCCATTCTCTCGCTTTGTGTGTCTCTCTCTTTGTAAAATATTATTTTGTTGACTTTTCGACTGTTTGCGTCGAAACATTTACAATCGAAAAAAAAGAAGAATCGAAATCGAACATTGAACGCAAATGGAATGAAAAACGTTAAATTTCTGGTTTATCATGTGTTTAGTTTATCAATCGGTTTGTTCCTTCGTCATTTTCATTCATGTTAATGTAATGGCACAGGCACAGGCACATCGAGCAAACATACACGCATCCGAAAAAAGTGGAAAGTAGAGTGGAGCCAACTAAACCGACAAAATCTCGAAGAAAGTGTGTATAACAATCATTACGAGGCTCTCTCACATTCTCATGCGATCACGAACGAATTTCTGTGTGCGAAACGAATGAGCGCAGAATGAAAACGACAAACGTTTGTAATGATAATAATAATCAAAGAAATTAAGAATAAATAAATATATAAATAAAAAAAGGAACGACGACGACGATGACGACAACACGATCGCCCTGTAAGTAATCTAAAATTCAATCCCCGCACTCGGTCCGAAAATTTCGATTCATTCATAAATAATCGTCAGAAAGGCAATCGACGAGAAATATCAAGCGATTCGCTTTTCATCGTATTTGTGTTTTTATTTTCCTTTTTTTTCTGTGCTATTCAACCTTTTCCTAATTGACTGTTTGCTGTCGTATTTCTTTGTTGTTGTCATTTCGCCTTCGCCTTTCTCACCGATCGTCGTTGCTTCCCTTACGAATTTTGTGTATTTGCTTAGCCAACGCGAAAATATTCGTTTTTCAACTCGTTTCGACATGTTAAAAACAAATCATAAAATTATCTCTTCCTATCACACATGCCACCATTCCGCATGTATAGTCCTTGAAGTGAGAGCGATTGCGATTGAGGATCTCTCACATAGAACAACACACAGTGTGTGATTTGTGTGCTGGAATTTTCGACATTTCGAATAAAGACACAATACAGCAATTTGAACTGAAGCAGCAACAAGAAATTACAAAATCAACAAGCGCACACGCATACTTAATATAGATGTGCAGTCGCAAGTCTCGACAACGAATTAGAGCACACTATCCGCATTCATTTAGGTCTTTCGATTTGCTTTTTTGCTATTTACATAACAACAACATCGGACAAACAGCGCGTCAGAGATAGAGGGAACAAAAAGAAAGAACAGAGAAAAAAAAATTTGTTGGCTTTGCTCATTCATCATGCATACTCAAGTGGATGTTTGCAAATGTTTATCCAAGCCGAGGCCAACGTAGCACAAGGATATTAAGGCCTATCTGCAAATCGGCCTAACACACACAGAAAGAGAGAGGCTCAGAGAGATAGAACATGGAAAAGGAAGGTGGATAAATGCATGTACAAATATAAATATGGTTATCGGGCTGTACTTTAATGATTTCAATATGTGAAAAACTCTATTTATTTTTCTCATAAAAAATCTTATTGCTGTGTGTGATTGTGAAACGAATCCGTAGTGTGTCTCTCTCTCTCATCGTTTTCGCATCGCGTTGTATAGCATTATCGAGGATGATTTAGCACACGAGTGATGAGTGTGTGTTTGCGAAAGGCAATGCCGATGTGAGAACCACATAAATCGAGTGTGTATTGGTGAAATAAAGAAATCATCGCATCATTTCTTCTTAGAAGGATCCACTTGAAAAGTATTGTACAGAAGAGACAACGAAAACAAAGCAACTCAAAAAAGGAAAAAAGTTCTTCTCCCATTGCCTCTTACTCTATGCCTGTGCATTCACATGGCGATGCAACAGCAGCTCTTTTTCACTCCACTATGTTTGTGTGTGTGAGAAGTTCAGCTAGATTTTTTACCTTTATTATTATTTGCTTCGATATTGCGTTCCGGCCAATTTCTACGTAAGGCGTCGGCGTTGCTGAAGTTGAGATTTAAATTACCTGATTTTTTGCTGCTCAAAAAGGATCTGTTTACGATCGCAAAAATTCTAAGCGTTCGTTTGCTTTTATTTGTGTATTAGTTTAGTTTGACTGCAAGCTATTTTCGTATTGTTACGGTTGTCTCCGCGTGAGCGCATTTATGTAGTTTGTCCTAGGCTGTTTTGGGTTTCTCCTTTGAGCAGCGCACAAAAAGCCATAAAATGAGGTCGTAAATAAGAGCCGACAAAGTGAAAACGGCAAAAATGCAAATATTACGTTAAGAATGGCCCACAAAATATATATATCACGGCTATAACATATAATAGTGTTCCGTTTACGGTACGCGTTCTTCTCTCACTCTCTTCATGTCAGCGTGTGAGCGTATGTTTATGTGTGTGTTTGGGTTGTCTTCCTTCAGACTCCTTGTGAATAAATTTGATTAAATTGAGTTCATCGCAGGGCAATGTCGAAAGGAATCGCGTCTGAATTTCGTTGTTTTTTTTTTGTTCGTCCACCACCGAAACGAAAAGAAAAACGGAATCGCGGCACAGTGTTAAATATACATTCGGTTTAAACACTTTATGTGATTGTCCATAAAAATGGGCAATTTATTGAATTGCATTGAGAAAATGCTACAAAGAAATTAAGAAAAGGAAGCCAATTGCTCGTCTCCCGAATCGATTGAGAAACTCAATACGACATTATGAATTTTGTTTTTGCTGACGTTCACCATTCACACAGAGAAAACTGGCTCTTCGGCTCCATACTCGAATCAATAACCGGCTAAATCAGCACATTTCTTTTGTGCATTTCGACGATTCTTACTCTCTCTCCCTCTTTCACTCACCAACAAAATTATAAATGACCATATAAAATCAAGCATTATTACAATGGAACAACAAGCAAGTTCAAAATAACCTACAAATATTGTTATTTTTTTTCTCAATCGTTAAATTTCAGTTCCTTTTGTCGTGCAAGCGCGGCTGTCGGTCGGGCCGACAATGTAGATAAGAATTGTTATGAACTAAATGTGTTTTCGTGTTAGCGAAATTCAGGCGAGAATCATTTATTTTGTTGCTTTCGATTTTCATGAAACGAAAGTGACATGAGAGGGGAAAAAAAAGGTGCAGAAAAATATAAATTGATGTTTAAAATTAGCGAGAGCAATGCGAAAGAGAGAGAAAGAGATAGAAAATGTTATGATTAAAATTGTTTGCTCTGTGTTTCAGAGCCCAGTCTAAATGCATTCCACAATTTAAATTAATTAATTAGTTTTTGGTGCAAATTTCCAGAGCTGATCTTTTCATTTTGGTCAGTTTGGAAGTTTTCGAGGTTAACCTCGGCGCGATGTGCCGATGGTTCGTTCATTGACATCATTTTTTCTGGGCATCGCGTCATCGTGATTATCACACGGAATCAACATTTGATCGAGGTATCCGAAATTCTTCGAAGGATCGCCGCACGAGAGAGAAGAAGATCATTTCGAATGCAATTAGTTAAAATGAATGGCTGTACACCGTTTTGACAGAAGCACACAAAAACAACAACAACAACAAATAAATGGTCCATGTTTTGCGTTAATTTTTTTGCTTCAATGAAATCGGATCGTCACAATCTTCATTAATACATTTTCACACAAACGCTCATCGCTAGATTCTCTTAATGACAAATCGCTCGTTACACCGACGAATTTATTTCTAAATTATTGCATTTAGTTCATTTGGCAAATGAACGGAAAAGAAAAAAGATTCATGTTCGGAGGAAAAGATTAGACGACGCCAATATTATGCTTCGATTGCAGTATTCGACGACAATTTTAATGAACCATTTTTCTGCTTTGTTGATTTCATTGTCGGAATATTATCAAATGATTTATTATTGCATGTTTATTGATTCTTAGACTGAAAGTTACTGAATGAATAGCAGAAAATGAATATTTGACTTTGTACTACTTACAATTAAGTCTCTTCTTGTGATACTGTTATCTGTGTAAAATACTAAGAGGTCGGCTGGCAATCCGCGAACGCTTGGCTCACGTAGTTTGGATGCGAGCAATAGGCAGGCGGCAGCTAGAATTTGTAGTTGTGTCCGTGGTACGGGTGTCAATGCCAAAAATCGATCCATATAATTCAACGCCAATATGAACACTTCTTCCTGACATTTGTTCTCTTCACAAACCTGAAACGAACCAAAGAAAAGGGGGAAAAAACGAGAATGAGACAAAAGCGAACGTGAAATAAAATATTAAAATTAAACTGATTTAGATCGTGAGTTTTTTTTTTGTTGTTGTTTTGATTTAGATGAATGGAATGAGGAATAAAAATAAAATCGCATATTAGGTAACCGATCGATTTTGAACCGATCGAAAACAGGTAAAGAAAACGACCAACGCTTTGATATGATAATTTTTCAATCGAAATGTTTTCCATTGTGAGCGCTTGAATGTGGTTTCGTTTTTGTACAAAATTAAGCTGATTAACAATAACTTTCCCACGACCAACAGATATGACATATTTTTCGATGTAAGACCATAATTTAGCCGTCGTCGTTTTTATTCAGTTGCAAATTTCGGGTTGATATCAAGGATTTGAACCGACGGTATCTTACTCACTTGAAATACCATGCGTAAAATTAGATTTGACATTGTTTGCGAGTTAATGAGTTCAACGAGTTTGCGCGTGGCGTCATTTGCTTAATGGCAGAACAGCTTGAAATATTTTTGTTAGTCAACCGTCCACTTCTTGGAACACATTTTGTTCACATTTATATGTTCGCGTTGACAGTATAAACAAATAAAAAGAAATTTTCTGTTGCTAGCGTATTAAATTTTATTTTGGTTCAACGGTCGTTATTTGTGCTTTATTGATTTTTGTTTGGCAACCATCGGAATTCCGGTGAATGGGGTGTTCAAAGGGTGTGAATCGATCAACGTACTACGATACGGAAAACAACAAAAAAAAAATTAACAAATTTAGTGTTAACGGAATGACACTTCGATTTGACTTTGTTGCGTTTGCAACAACCATTTCTATTTGTGGTAATTAACCAAAGGTTGAACAACGACGACGAAATGGAAGTTAATTGCTTCCAACGGAAACAGAATGTGTATGGCAACCCCCATCTCACTGTCAATTAATCGCAACAAATGTCAATACGTTCGAAAGATAAACAGTCATAAAAAATATTCCTGCTGTTGCTACGTGGCAAAGGTGAACAAATTTGATCATGACAGTTTTTTTTTTCTCTTTTTTTGAAAAATTGAATTTTCAATCGTAAAAATGCACTTGTCCGCCAGACTATTTCGTTGATGATGATGAAACAGTTGTGCGCGGCTACGACTGTTGCATCAAACACTAGGAGAAGGAAAAAAAATAGCTTCAGAGGATCTTAACCGCAGAGCAGGTGAATTCATCTGATTTAGAAACCGATTCAAACTAATAAGAAACTCCAACGCAAAGCATAGGCATTCGAACCAGATCCTTCGGCAAAGAGGGTAAAAAGTAATAAAACCGAAAAAAATGGATAGATAAACATCACATTTGGATTTGGAAAAATGCTAGATTACATTTCATGTTGAGTCCTTTTTCTCTGTCTCTCCATCTCCATCTCTATTTCGAATGTCATTAATTATAATTATTCGTTTCCGTCTTGTGCGGAGCAAGCGTGTTGGCAGTCACGAAGTGATCGTCGTTCGGTTGCGTAAAGGTATGTTGGCTCTGTGTCTATTCGATGGAGGGGTTGGTTAGTAAACACAGCATGTAATGCCTAATTTGAAGTGGTTCCCTTTGTTCGCAATCAATCGAACACAACAAGAATGTTGGAGGCGTTTTTCCCTTGATCATTTCATTTCATTTCGTTTCGTAATATGTCAGAGGTATAGGAATTCAAACAGGAAAAATACGATCAACCAAATAGACATCGATCGAATTTGTATATGTTTTTCCTTTATGCTGTTGCATTGATCTCATCATTCTGTTGCAAAGAGTAGGAATAAAACATATTTCAAAATAAAAACAACATATCCAGACGAAATGGTAAAAAGAACATAGTGTTTTTTTCCGTTTGCCACCTGTCGGATGGATACAATTGAGCACATGTACTCGCAGCAGCAATCAACAAACGAAAATAATAAGACTGTGTCTTTGGGGTGTAGTGTGCGCGAGCAACAGGTGCGTTGAACATTTTTACGTTTACTACGAATAAAATATACTCCACATTGCGGTACTCGGTATCAACATTATTATCGACGACGACGACGACGAAGCGCAACAGCATTCAGTCGAAAGGCTTGATATTGTTGTATTGCATCGTCGTCGTTGTTGTCGTTCTTGAATGCATGATTGTGTGTACGATTGATCCTGTAGAACTCCTTTACCGTAGTTCAAATGGAAAAAAAGCAGCAAAACAAAACAACAGACTGTGTTTTGTTGTTACATTAACGGAGAATCATGCAATACACTCTCAATTGCATCCAACATTTATTCTGACCGTACAAAAATCACGCATCGCTTTTGCGGCACAGTCAAGGTAGCAATCAAATGTGGTACGTAATTTGCACTCATTGCACACGTGCGAGCACATACAAGCAAATCACGTCTCTCGATGTGTGATCTTGAAATACACAAATCGACCAATGGCTCAATGCAACAGCGGCTGCGTATGAATCAAACCAATTACATTTCTCTTTCTGAGCAATGCATGTCCAATTGCATGATTTGCCTATGAACTACGCACCATGAACCAATGCCAGCACCGTGACACGTATGCCAGTGCTGCTTTTCGCTATACGTATGCCATGGAGCTTGTAGCTATAGAACGAGCGCAAGATGTTCAAATCATTCTTCAATAACACGCAAAAGCACTTCAACATCAACAACAACACGAAGCAGAACCAAATCAAAGAAGCGGAGAGCCATTTAAAAACTAAGTGTGATCATGAAATGCTTGAGCAAAGCTCGGAATGCTGTTGTAAAACAACATACGAAATAATAATTATGATAAAAAAAACGTCAGGCACCAAGAAGCAAATGGTAGAAAAAACGAAGGTTTAAATAGCTATTAATATTGCAAAAAAAAAGACGAGAGACAAAGTCATGAATATATGAAAACGAAATTTGGCTTTTAATTTTGTGTCGATTATGATAGTGAAGAGGGTTTTATGGAACGTAACGAACGTTCGATGCGTGTTGAGCAGAGCAAAGCACATGACAACTGACAACGATATTTGGAAATCGCCAGAACAGCGTTATACACTCAAAAAATAATATGAACTTAGATCCATAAAGGGGGCAATAACATAGCAAAACACGCAAAAATGGACAAAAAGAAGTTTTTTTTTTAGTAAAAGTCAACTTCCAGTGAAAACACCTCCAATAAATATTTATGTAGGATATGTGTATGTGTGATATTGTTATTTGAGTGACATAATGGAATGATGTTGATCCACGGTTGATTTTAATTTAATTGTTGAAACTTTCTTGAAATTCTACGCAATTTTGCGACAGAAAAGCATGGAAAAAGCAGAATGTCGCACTTTTGGACAAACAATGAATAAGAGAACATGTTGTAGAGTGAGCGGCGCTCACTGAACGCTCAACAGATCGACTTGTTACTAGCCTACGTTCAAAAGGCAATAAACAGCATTTGATGAAGTCACCATCGTTCACTGACATTCACAATCTCAAAAACCCGTACCATAACAATAAAATGAAGAGAGAAAAAAACGGCCGACCGACCTATCAGACACGCTTGATAATAATGCGAATTGGCCGCACATTCTTACGCAAAACGATGTTGTGAAGAAAGCCTATTTTCAGCTGAATGAAGAGAGAGGAAGAGCTAGTCGAAAAAATTGAAGGAATTGACATTCAACACAAAGAATCAAAAAAGTAAATATTAAAAAGAGCCTATGATTAGCATGCAAATTGCCGTGTGGACGAAATATTTTGTCAGTCAACTTTTTTTAAACAAAAAAAAAGAAAGATTTTCACTATTGATTTGCCTGTCGATGACACGAATGTTTCAATAAGCACATTACTGCGCGATTGGACCCCTTCGGTCATAAACGTAATTTGTGTGTAAATACGCACAGCACGCACATTGAAACAATCCACACACTGAATAAACAAGCAGATTAAGATATAATCATTACGAATTTAAAATCATAAGACTCATTCAAAGCATGGGCCATGGCGTACATCGAAATTATCAGATGATTCAATTAAATAGGCAGCAATTTATTCTGAATCACTTTTTATGATTCTTTTTTTTTTACTTTTGTTTTATAAGCTTTTTTCAATACACTATAAGCATTGTTAAGATCTCGAGTTTTTTTTGTCTATTTTGATTTCGAGTCCAGTTTCTCCAAGAGTTTCATCAAGTGTTTTCAGAATGCTGTGCTGTTATTGTGTGTGGTAACGGAAAACTTAGTTGCTAGTTGATCGTTTTTAAACAAATTGTGAGTATTCATAGGTTCAAAAACCTTAGGCAGTAGTTGTAATACGCAACAAGCTCTTTCTCTCTTATTCACAAGAAAAAAAAATGATCTCACAAAACGGCATGTGCGTGGTTAGGGCGAATATTGATTCTATCTCGATTTTCTGTGAATATGTATTGTTGGACGAACCGAAAAGAAATCTCGTCGAATGAATTAACAGCAAAATCTGTGCAAATAATACATTGGCTATCACTGGCTCGCTTTAAAAGTGTGAATTCCATTAGAGCATATTGCGGATCTTGAACGCTTTCCTGTATAAGTTTGTTTCAATGTAACCGAGTCGATGATAATTTACAACAAAATCGACGCTGCGCGATGAAGGGTGGTTATATGATGGCGATATGAATACAAAACAACAGTTTATTGAACTACATATTCGAAGGAAAAAAAACTTAGTGATCTGTAAAATAAAACTGATGTGGTCCCGTTTGCTTGCAGTGCACGTGCCACACAGCCGTTGATACGTTGAAAACGAACAAGAAAACAAACCTCACAAATAATAAAGTGTTTTTCCAACCATCACAACATGATCGCGCTACGGCCAAGGTGAATTACGAAAGGAATCGTCGACAATCGTACGAAAAAGTAAACAGTCGAATTTAGGTAAACAAAGGTAACAACAGCACACAAGTTGTTGATGGGTAATGATTGGAGCCGCTTCTCTATGCATATGTTGTGTTTGGTTCAGTTATTTTAATTGCACACACACAAAACGCCAAGCAACACACAAACTGTTTTGGTACGTTCGATTCGTGAAGTGTTTAGTAGAGTGAAACGCGATTTTTATCGACACAAAAGCACGGGCTAGAAGCAGCTGCAAATGCTTCCAGTCATTGCCATCGAACCGCCACCATCATCATCGAAGAAATTACTGCACATCATCAACATTGTCGTGGTCTTGATCGTCTTCGTCACCACCATCATCATTTTCAACCACCGCTTATTAGCTACTGCACAAGAAATGCTCATTTATAATATCAAAGGAAATATAAATATGTGTAGACCTTGTGATTGAAAACGGAGCGTAAAAAACGAACGTGTTGATCATGGTCGCATGCCAAAATTGGAAGCAGCAAATTTAAATGCCCCGGTCGTTCATCGCGATGCTCAATTCATTGCTCTCTCGCGCGCGCGCGAGCGATAATAATTGATTTCTGAATGTTCGAAGTCTTATTACGTGTATTTTTCATATTGACATTGGCATATTCGAGAATTTCGTTAATCATCGTGCACATGCTTGAATTGTATACAGTACCGTGGCGGTGACAAGCTTTGTGTGTGCAAAAATATAAATTGCACAAGGTGTGCGCTTGAATGTGCGATTCATGACATAAGTGAGTATATGTGGCAGATGTCTTGGAGGTTGTAAAACCCATTGAAATGAATCTTTTGCACAAAAAAAACTGAAAAAAGAGATACACGTTTAAATCCAACACAAACAATTGCCATTCGGGTTTTTTAAATGCCCGTGTAAACGACGGCCAACGTACACACACTAACATACGAACACAAATCGCATTCAATTTTATGATATCATAATTTAAATACCTCCGATGCGCAATTAAGTTTACGCTCAACAAAGAATACATCCACGACCAGCGGCAACGATTAATTTGGTGCTTGTGCACATCACAAAAATGCGCTGATGTACTGAGTTTACAAATCGAACCGTGTACCAAAAGGAAAAAAGCCACTACGAAAATACTGTTGACAAAGCACACAATTATACGAATTCGGCGGTTGTTCGATTGAATTGACGATCGTGTGAGTGAATTTCGTTCATTTAAAGGGAATTATGCAGAATGAAAAACAAAAAAATACACACACTTACGGTGAACGAGAGACACACAACACGAAAGAGAAATATTAAATTACGCTTAAATAGTTCTCGTTGTGGCATTTAAACTTTTTTGTCGTTTCAAATGTTTAAATATCCAAAAAATTGAAACCCAAACGAGAATCGAGAACTGGGAGTCAACAACGACGACGACGACGACGACACCAATAAAAACAAAAGTGCCAACAAAACATTCAATAATGGTGTGTAATAGAAACCAAATAAAAACGAAACGAGAAAAAATTGACAAGAAACGAACAAAAAAAGCGATCGAGAGTAATTTAAATAGCCGATTACATGATGAGTTGTATGCAGCAGCAGCAACAGCAGCACCGCGATGATTCGACAAGGAATAATTCAACGTAAGAAAAATGAACCCAATCTTTTGATTGCTATTCACACGAATTTCTTGTTGAGATAAGCTTTAATTTGTTATTCATGTTGTGTATCTTTGATTCGTCTCTCTTTCTGTATCTAACGCTCATTGTTATGGCAATAGTTTAAAAGACATTGAACTTGAAAATTAAATAAAAAATGATACAAGAGAAGAAAAAAAAGAAACATAAATCAATATTCGTGTTGTGACGCCCGCTCAATACATATGTATATGTGTGCAACATCCGACAGTGGAGTGTGATATTGGCTCGTGTTGTGTATATATGCGAGTGATACAATGTAATGCGACAAAACGACTAGATCGAGCGTCGAATCTATTTGCTTTTATAATTTGAGTGAAAACGGCATGAATGACCATTCGTCAATATGTATGGCCACGGCACGAATTACGCATATGCGTATGTAAATCCAATTCCACGGGCCAATGTGTCATTCAATGGATATGGAAAGTTATACATATTTGATTGTTGAACGAGATATACATCACAACATTGATGGTTGTTTAGGCTAATCATTATTGCTGACCGATCGTTCTACTAGTTTTTCTATATCTCTTCTCTCCCAGTATAAGTTGGCTATTTCCTATTTCCTATCCCAAACAATACCAATATACTCGTTTTTTTGTCGTCATTGACTCGATTGTGCTACTATTATTACCCAATTGGTGCCTTTTAAATACGTAATAGATTCGGCTAAATTGCCATGCAAAATTATTTGGCTTTAAGCCAACCATTTTTTTTTTTTTGTTCTGTCCATGACCATAAACTGTCGATCAGTGTGTCAATTAAATAAATCAATCTCACTCATCAAATCATTAGGGTGGTCAGAACAAAACGACAAAAAAAAAAACCTTTCAATCTAATCATTTTGATAATACTTTTTGTCAGAGGCAATTAGCCGATTGTTTCAATTTGAATGAAACGCTCGTTTGCTGCTAATCGAAATCGCTTGATGGATTTTGGGTTGAATTCTTTGGTGTGCTGTTTTTTGTCAGTATCACTGACACAAAACCAGCAAACGCATGTCATGAAGAATATCACTTTTTGTTTATTGACCCCAAGCACATCACTTTTTTGTTGCTCTCTGAAGATGTTTGTTGTTTTTATAATAACATTTCGCAAATCCACCATGTCATTGGTCATGGTTGCTTAAAGCCAAATTGAATGTATAGCATGAAATCGGAAACGAAGCACATCAATTTTGTTGAAGCGAGAGCAAAAAAGGGTGCATTTTTGGTGTTGCAATGTCTGCATCAACCCTTCGTTCAATGCAATTCTTAAGGAAAACAATGGTTTTTGGAATTCCTTGTTTTCGCTTCAGAAGGAAAATGATTATGGAATGAAATTAGCCATGAATAAGACGATGCAAAACCAAAAGCAAACACTTCATCTCTATCTTTTCACCTGAGACCGATCAATTTCATTTCATTGTCTTTTTCTTTATCGCTGCAACTCAGAAAAAAATCGCTCTATCGAAGAAAAGAAGAACTCGGAGTGCAACATGAAGTTGACGAGTTGTCGTGGCGGAAATGGTTTAACTAGCCCAACCAACCAGAACCGTTCCTCTCGAAAATTGAATTCATATCAACCGAATGCCGTAGTTTGGAGTGAAAACATTTCTCGTTTAAATGCCTGATGATAGAGTTGATTATTTTTCTGCCATTTCTGGGTCAATATGGGAATGAGTACTCAACTGTTGGAGCTCCGATCAAATAATGCGTAAATAATTATACAGAACTCTCTCAAACTATGTACCAAATGTTTTTGTTTTGTTGGTTTTAAAAATGGAGTGCAGTACTTTGCGGATGTACATTACTCGAATTGAACGCACGCTCGCTCATCGTTTTTTTTTTGTTTTGTTCAAACTGAATGAAAATAACACGAAAAAAATTACAAACATAACGTTTATGCTTCGTGTGAATGACTGGCCATTTAAATATTTGAGAAAAAAAAAAGTTCTCTATTCGCTTTTTTAAAAGAAGAGAAAAGAAAGAAACGCAACACTTTTTCTTGTTCAATAGATAAACAGATGAGACGCATCTCGCACGTCAAACCGAATCCATTTCCAAGTGAATCAGCTGGAACAATCGAGGAAATTGAAACATTTTGTTTTACGCTCGCAATGCTGCTGCTGCTTTATTGATTGTAAGTAAATGCGTTTCAATGAAGCGTAACACAAGCACCTTGATGATACTCTTTTTTTTACTCTTTTACTTCTATGTGATCATTATTCGATCAAACCGACCATATTTTAATCTTGTTAGAAGCTCAATGAAACCATATTGTTTGGAGACTGCGTGTGTTTCTGCAGCAAGCGTCAAGCAATTCGTTCGTTCTTTTTTTATTCGGAAAATAATTCGTTTGATTTTTTTGATTAAAAAAAGAAAACATTGAGACTTCTGTTTGAAAATTCCATCGTTTGCGTTAAAGCGTTATTCTATTGAGCCATTGCGTTGGCAACGGTTCATTGTTATTATTTATTGGCTCGCACGAACACATTTTCAGTGGCTTTTCTTCATTTAATTTGGTCGATTAAATCGTTGCATTGCTTAATGGACCGAAAGTGTTGAATTCCGTGAAGTTATTTGTCGAAATTGAATTCATTTCCTCTGTATCAACAGCAGCAGCAAGAAGAAACCGAAAGATGTGATTAAAACGTGCTGTGGTTGCGAGTAAAATACGTCCCTAAATTGTCCAAACCAAAACGAACATGATATGCAAAAATTACGTTGCGGCAAAAATGTTCGTTGCATTTGTTGGTCAAAAAGCCGTTTTCGCATGAATGATGTTTATAATAACGGCCGGATCTTACAGTTGAAAACGCATCACCATGTGCGCGTCCTTTCGTTCGTGCATTGCTGGAGTAGTAATACCGCATGGCATTGTTATTCTCATATACTCTATTGGAATCTAAATGACTGTACGACTGAAATCGAATAAGCGAAAAGGAGCGTTGCTCGGCTCTGCCTTGTTGGCAAATGTGCTGTTACCGTCTTCATCGTCGTTGTTGTTATGTTTTTATTACATTTATTATTGGAACATGACGTTTTTCGCTTCATTGTTCCATGCCGTGAAGCAATTTTCAAGAAAACGACATACGGGGTTGAAACTGACATTCACACCTGCCCTGTTCTCTTCTCGTTTCAGCTAATGCAATGGCTATATGTGGCTCTGTGTTCACAGATAAGGACATTCACTCTAAGAAGAAGTTGAACGAATGAAAAAAAAAAAAACGTTCTAGGTAGGCTACACATATACACATAGGTATATACGTACCTAATGCAAGATGTCGTTGGAACCCGAATTAACAAGAAGGATCGACGACACGAGCAATGACTTCAATAATAAATGGAGAACGAAATTAAAGAGGAGTCGCGTTTTATTGTGCACACAATATTACAATTTACAAGAGGAGGACGGTAAGTAAAGGCTGTTTAACTGGATTAGGAGTTTTTGAACGAGCAAAAGCATGATTGAGTAAAATCAAGACCGAGACAGAAAATGTGCGGTTTGTGAACTCTGTGCGACGTTTCATTTACCTTTGCTGAATTTTTAAATATACTTGAGGGTTGAATTTTCTGCTTGTTCCACGTGTAAAAATCACGTCATCCAAACAACAAAAAATGGCAATGATCTGATTTTTCTGTGTTGCCATATCGTTCTCCCTAATTTCACATTTCTCCTTTCAAAGTTTTCCTTTCTTCGTTGCTTGTCTTGGGCCGAAGAAGCGAGAGGATCAATGCCAAATTGCATTGTTATTGATTACGGCCATAGGTAGAGAAAACAGTTTGAAATCTTGCACACACACACACACACACATTTGTTTTGGCATAACACTTCTTCAATTGACATTGCATTTGCCGATATTGGCTATTGTGCTGATTTAATCTGACTCATGACATGTAATATATTTTCGTTTTGATCGAAGAAATTCATCAAAAACGAAGCATTACGAGAGAAAAAAGCGAAGAAATTGTACAATTGCATCAAATTGAAGGTAAGTTCTATTGTGAGCGTGTGTAGTATTCTTCTCTTTTGCTTCTTCTCTTCTTCATTTGCTTTATTTAGTTTTTTTTTCTTGCATTCGCTACGTACAATCGTTTGCAGCTGCTGTTCGGTATACATTATTCTCCTTTAACAATACTGTAACAAGACCAAAAACTTGAAGAATTATGCTTAGCGCACACACCGAATTTTATTTAAACAAGGAATTATACGACGTCCTTTTTTTCTCCATTCGATTTGAAGTATTGGAAAAAAATGGAATCCCTTTTTCGGTTCCAAATAGAAAAAAATATTTATTCAGAAGCATTTTGTTTCGATAAACCGAAACGATAGACTATGTACGATAGAAATGATGTGTTTTTTTTCTTTTCGTTTTTAGAAAAATCATAGGTCTCGGGATGATGCAAGAGACGATGGTATTGTGCATGCGGTGGTGGTGGTGTGCATGAAAGTAAAGCAAAGATGATCGTGTTTTTACATCATCAAGACGTTCTATTGTTGCGAGAGTGTGAACGCCAGTTGCATCTTCAGTTGATACGTCGGGGTGGTTCGGTCGCTTTTCTTCTTCTTCTTCTGTGCCGACGTCTATTCAGAAATTATATATCATTATCGTCATTGTGTCGCATTTATATAACGACATATGTCTCTTCGCGATGCATTGAACATTCGTTCACTCTTTTTCAGTTTGATCATTCAACAACAATGGAAATCGTCAACCGATCAATGGGAACAACGCCATTGTAGTGGATCCTTTTTATTTATTTATCAATGCTCTTGATGATAAGATGGATTGAAAGCTGGAATCTAACAAGAAGCCGTTTTTTTTCTCTCAACATTTTCAACAGAACGAACGTTGAACGGCTTTTTTTCTAAACATTTTAACAACGAACAACGTTAAACTTTCTCTCTTCGTGCTTGGCGGCCAGTATAATTATCCGACACACACACAGAAATTAAATTACTGAAATGCTGATGACAATTTAGATAACAATATGTTGTGTGTACACTCAGAAAACATTGACCAACGATGTAAAATAAACAGCCAACGAATGTCTTTATCTTTTTTTCCCAATGTTTGAAAAGGAGCAACGTGGAATGTACATGTTGGACTGAAAAATTGTGTGTATCAAAATTAAAACGTTTGCCCATTGTTCAGCGGAATGAAAATAAAAATTATTTTATTCGAAAATGTGGAAATGTGTGTGTGTGTGTGTTCGTTAAGGGTAAGGGCTGCCGTCGCATTTTTTTATTTACTTTTCCGTGTGTTAATTTACAGAAATTTATATACACGTTGTTTCCCTTGTTTTGTGTTTCCGTGTTGAGATGGTCGTTTTGTTCCACTCTCTTTCTCTTCCCGAAACACGGAATTTACTTTGTCCTGTCTATTGCTTCCTTGATGAACAAAGTAACAGAAAATGAGGAAGTAAAGAAGTGAAACATATTATAAAGTTGTTTTTTTACGACTTCAATTTTTCCCTTATTAAACGAAAAAAAAACTGACGCGTCGTCCTATTGTTATCCTTTGTAAATCGAATGCATTTTTTTTCTTGTTCGATTTGTTTCCCGTCTGTTTCTTTACATTTCGATTGAGCCCGAATTTAGAAATGAGCACTCGGCTTGCGAATTGGATTTTGATCATGAAAATTGGCTTTCATTTCCGCCATTCACAAGCATTAATTTGCGGTTGGTTTTTTGTTATCGACAACGGCAACAAATCATTTTTACTCTCTACTATAACCTTGTGTATTTTTAACTGGAATAAATTGCAGATAAAATGTGTGGCAAAATGACGTATTTTCACTTCCGAGACCACCCAATCGACCGTTCTCGCCTGATTACAGATGAAACTCGGTAATCAAAAGGAATTGTCGGTTCATTTATCAACTGACATCATTTCAATACATACAAATTATTTTTCCATAAGAACTTTTTTTTATTCTAAAGGAAAATGTCCAAAACGCGTATTTCAAAAACCGCAAGTTTTTGGCATTCAATTCAATTCCCTATCGTACGATTTCATACTGGAGAGAGAAAAAAAATTAGCACATGACACGAACAATTGTAAAACAGATCTTTATTGCGTAAGCAGTTGTCAGCATTTGTTTTAGTGATCATTGCAGTTGATTCAATTTAAGTTACGTTAGTGCAGTAGTCAAGCTGATGTAGACGTGACAAAAAATGTCGTGGGTTCCATCGAAAGCACACGCGAACAAATATATATATATATAAACGTGTATTAGTCATTCCAAAAATATGAAGGAAGAGGCATTTGATATGGCAGTGCGTTAGTTCAACACGGTTTTTTATTAAATAAATAAAAACATTTCTGGGAAAATGTTATCAGGACACTCGAGCCACATGTCAAGTGATAAGTTGTAGAAAAATTGCACGAAAATTCGGAACGTTCAAAATCAAAATAAAATGGATCGGATTTTTCGTACGAAAATGCCTTTTATTGCTTTCGATTGCCTTAATTATTTTTCGATCAGCAATATTTTGAGTGGAATTCTTGGTTAGTTATTTGCACAGCAAATCATGAGCAAATAGCATGCAGACGACAACGACAGCGACGGTAACGGCGACAATGACGACGCTCTTCGCAGCCATTTTGAATTAAAATCATAAAAATTGTTCAATTAAAATGCAATTTTCCTCGTTACAGAGACGTCAATCGATGTAATACACTGTTGTTATCATTGTTCAAAATGAAAAACACAGAATTTGTTTATTGTGTTTACTTCAGGTGATGTTTTTTCTCTTTGCTTTGATATAGATTATTATTGTATGTTTTGGCTTGTGTAGAAAATGTGCGGAATCAGCAGAAATACATGGGAATCGATTGAATTGAGTGGTTTTTATTTCTTCTTCTTATTCTTCTTTGATGAGTGTGTTCGTGCTGTATTTCGTCATGTGAGAATATCTTTGGGCATTGCGTAGGTACTTGACTTGAGTCAACGTCATTTTGTATACAACTACACTTTCATGCCATTTGACAGCCAATTGAATGGTTTTGTTTTCTTGAATGCTTTGGTTCTGTTTCATTAACCCAATTGCCAATATAATTGCATTCTCAATTTTCTTGGACTGAAAATAAAAACCAAATTCTCGACTTTTTCTGAAAACGAAACAAAAACACGCTCACACAAGAATGTCAGTGAGACAGTTCGATTAGTCGGTGGATTTGAATCATTTGCGAGCTTACTATCTTTACGGTATAAATACACATAGCTGATAACGCGCTTTGATCAAACACAACGCACTTTTACACACCAATTTGTTGGCAATCTCTCGCTCACGCTCTATATTTTCCATGCTAGATTGAATATGGGCAAAAGTTTCTCTCCCATATATGTGTGACTTGGTGCGGTTCTTATCGGAGGGCGTATGGCAGCTTTTTTTTTCCTACATCAGCTGATCACATCAAATGAAAACACACTCATTTCATATTCCATATGAAAAAACGATTGTCGCCGCCAACACTTGACAAAGTTGTAGCGATTTCATCGAAAAGCTTCGAAATTACAATGTGCCCGTGTTCAGACCACTCATGCTTCAAGTGCAGAGCGACGTTCAATGGAATCTCTTGTCAAAATAGGAAGGAAGGGAGTTCATTTTTTAATTCTCTTTTTATGACTGCATAAATTATATTTTTAGACACAAGCGTCAAAATCATTTTGCTGATTATTACATCAAAATACACACAACAGACAAAAGCAATGTCTTGACTTTTGGCACTGGCACTGCTGTGCTGCTGTTTATTTCTCTCTCTTCTGTTTTTTTCCTGTGTTGGTTTTTTCTTCTTTTTCGCATTAAATCTCGTTCACTTCACTGTCAAATGATCACCAATGCGAATGAATGTGAAATGGCGAAATCTGACATAATATTTTATTCGCCGTACATTTCATTCTCAAGCTAAAAATCATCGATGTATGCGTGTGTGTGTGTGTGTGTGTGTTTGCGTTTTGAATGAACTCTCGAGAATAGCTTTAAATTGCCAATTTCGTTTTAATGCACGGAATGATCGTAACCGAGAAAGAAATCAAATATGAATGTATACAACAACAAAATAACGACGACGGCAGCGACGACGACGACTACGACGACCACGAATAATAAGGTGACGTCTGGCAGTTGAATAAAACAACAGTGGACGGCGACGACGATCGCACACACTTACACACATTTATGCACGGAATTTTTTCTCTCTCTCTCTCGTTTAGATTTCGCCCATATTCGGGGATTTTAAAATTTAAATGGACTCGAATGGCATGAGTGTGGCTTCACTACTGCATATTCAACTATCTTTCAGTATGAAATAAATCTCTGTCAATGTGTAGAAACCCATGTGTTACATTCATTGAACACAAAAAGTGTTTGGTTAAATTAATTTTGGTTTTGGGCGAAATTCTCATTT